AATGTTATAAATGTACTGTTGTCCTGCAGTCCTCATACCGCTTTAATATAACAAAAACCAATCAAGGGGCCTGGAAATATCAGATACCATCCTCTCTAGATAGAGAGGTAAAAATGCCCCACAAATAAAAGAAAAAATACTTCAGTGCTTTCATTTCCTGTATTTCTCACAGTGCTTTTCTTTCCTTCTATTGAGGATTCTTAGTCATAGATGCCAACGAGGTAAATAGAAATAGAAGTATGTAGATATCTCAAGAGGTGATCAAAATATACGGTGAGTGTTTAGATTTTAGAAATGTATTACAATACAGGTTGGCATTAATACCCCTCAGAAGATGCCACCTCACTTTGAACACACTTATCTCATCCTTCTTACCCTTCTCTGAAGCAGTTTTGGAAATTTTATTTTGGTCTTTATGAGGGGAAATAAAAAATACATTGGATGCTGCTGCTGAGTTGCATCCCAGGAAATAGCAGGATCATAAAAATATTACACTGTGTCCTTATTCACCTTATTCACCGGATCTGGCACCATCTGACAGCTCGCTCTTCCCCAAAGTCAAAATGACCAGGAAAGGGAAATGTTTTGAGTGGATTCAGGACATAAAGTTGGCCAGGAGAGTGCAAAACTAAAGACACTCACAAAAGAAGACTTTCAGAACTGCTTCAGAAAGTGCCAAGAATGATGAGACAAGTTCATTCAAAGTGGCAAGAAGTATATTAATGACAATATGTCATTCACTGTAATAAAATGTTTAGCATTTGAACATTCATGCTATTGTTTATCACATCTCTTATAGTTATACACACACAATATGTACAAAAACGTATACAGTAGACACTTGATATTTTGGAGTCATCTTTCTGAATCCCCAAGTCTATGACTATGGAAATCTTATACACTTATAGCTTTCCTCTGAATCTTTTCATTTGTTTGCTTTAGTTTTGTTCAAAAATCATTTGCTTCCACTATGTACAATCCTATGCCAAAAATCTGAAACCTCTTCAACTTTCAGAAAGAGTTTCATCTACTTACACATATTTTAATCCAATGAAATTTCCCAGTCACTTTTTAAAAAGTCATTTGATGGAAGTTAGGGCATTCATGATGATGAATGCAGAATAATGAAGGCCAAATGGAAGGCAAATGCTGGTGGTTTGGTGAGTGAGGGCTGTTTAAGCACCAGCAGGGAAGCATATCAGCCTGAATTTGTATTTTGATTCCCGGCCTTTGCAGGTTCTCAAATTACTGCATGGCATAGACCTTTAGGGTTGTTGGTCAAACCTGGAAATATTAAGTCATTCAATGCAGGTTTTTGGTACAGGTTCTATGGCTGATGATATTGAAAAGCTCCTATTTTCCTCAGATATCTTTATCTCTCAAGGATAAGCAAGATAATTCATATTTCACCAACTCACATCTTAAATTACAAAGCTTATGGTAAAGTTCCCTATAGTCAAATTTTAACACCGACTCTGAATTCCCATTGCAAATTTACACTTGGTTTTCCAATTAAAATGGGCTTTTGTGAGTCCCCTGCTGATAGCCATTGGCTTGATAAAAAGTAACTTCATTTGTAGCAAGGGTGTTTAGGGAACCCAGTGCAAGGCTGACTCTTCTGCTATTGCCTTGAGCCCAGCTGTGCTGAAATATTAAACTTTAGTAAATTAAGTGAAATTGCAGCTTCCTGGCTGATACAATAATGCCCCTTTCTTTTCCTTTAGACCATCTTTACTCTGATGTTTTTTGTACAATCCTTCTGCACTGAGAGAAACACAATTCAGAATATCTTCTAAATCCAGACAGCTGTCCCATTTTTAAGACAATTGTGCCATACCTACTTATTTAACAGAAGGCATAAACTTCCAAATATGTGTAATTGCATTACTAAACTATTTAGCCATTTCTCGATAGAGCCCCACATTATGATATGCTATTCAGAAAAACGATTGGATCCCTAAAAATGTCAAACTTACACGAAAAGTAGCAGCCCTTTCCTTCTTGATTAGTACGTATTTTAGTAACTGTGGTGAGCTATAGAGGGAAATTATATTTTTAGTCACATTTATTCTCAGCTTCTTGCTCCGTTTTCCTCTTTAAGAATAGCATTAGTTCCAAAGCGTTCTTATTCACTGACCAAACATTTATTGATCAACTCTATGTGTACAAACATCTTTTTTTTGAATCAAATATTTTTAGATCACATGCAGAATTAGCAGAAAGGAACTAGGGAGGGTGGTGTTCTCTGCTTGAGATATGTAGCTATTTTTCTTGTGACAAAAATCACTGGAGACAGCTGAATGTCCAGATAGAGCTTACTTGCTCCCCAACAGGCTTTTTCACTTTATGACCTTACAGCCCTCACTGACACCAGTTGTAATATAAATGTTTTGGGAAAGTAACCACTAAAGCTTTTTTTAGTTTCAACTTTCTTCAAACCACCTTTATTAACGCATTTCCAAGATGGTAGAGTCCAAGGGTTGCTTTTGGGAAAATATCACATCTACACAAAAGTAGAATGAATGGTCTAATGATCCTCTTACAGCCATTGTGAGGATCAGGGTATATTCACGTGAGGGATAAAACTTAAGAAGGTTGTTTGGTGGAAGCTGGGCAGCCCATGGGCTACTTGTGGACAGGGTAGCTTAGCGCTCAAAGAGCTGAGTCCCATTTCTAAATAAAAAATCAGAGAGCAAGAATGTATAACATCATCACTGTATCTCTCTTTGGTGATAAAAGGGACACTAACCAATAAATGGCGGTGATCTGTGATCTACACCTGGCATCTGTAGTCTAGTTCCAGCTGTTGTAACAATACCATGAACTGGGCAGCTAAAACCATAGACATTCACTTTCAAAGTTGTGTAGGCTAAATCTGGGGTCAGCCAGGTTCCTGGGAAGGTCTCCGTGGAAGACAGCGGCTCGCTTTCTGTACAGACAGCAGTCAGAAAGCAAACAGCTTCCTGTCTCATAAGGGCGCTAATCCCATCATGGAGGATCCATTCTTATGACCTCATCAACTCCCAGAGAGGCTCCCTCCAAATGACATTACATTGAAATCTCAACATACGAACTGAAGAGAGGCACAAGCATGCAGAAAACAATTTACCCAAATTAAATTTAGCAGAATTTATGGGAGCACAGAAGGGCTCATGAAGTAGGGAGGACTCAGAAGCACTGAGCACCAATCTTTTATACGGGGAACAGCGCCACATAGTAGAGAGACCACCCGATTGGCTATGGCTAGGCGCCTGCCTTATTTGAGCACGGCGTGATGAGGTAGCTATGGAGGATTGGCTGAAATATGCTGGCCTGTGATTGGTTGGAACTTAGGCCTTCCTTATATACTTTAGTTCGGTTCTGGGTTGGAGTAGGAACTCAACTTACAGAGTTAGCCTCAGTCTAATGCGCTCTTTAACCGCAGTAGGCAAAGCTTTTCTGGAACGTGAGTGAGTAAATACTTTAGGCCTTCATAGCTACAGGATCTACCACCTCCCTACTCAATTCTGCCCTTAGAGCTCAAAAGCAGCCATAGACCACACAGCCATATACCGTCACTGATGACACCAAGCAGTGGACAAGGAGGTGTTCCGATTAAACAAGTTACAAAAGCAGGTAGGGGTAGAAAAGGGCTGGTCTGTCCACCCCTGAGGACTTTCTGGTCCCTGGTCTCCACGAATATACGTTGAAGTACGAGAAACTCGCAGCCTCCCAGCAGTGCCGTGATCCAGGCAATCACCAAATCCCTGGCAGCCGTTCAACGTGGGAGGAGGATCCAACAGAGCAACTCCAGTTTGCAAAGTTTCGAAGTGACCCTTTCCACCCTCTCCTCCCTCCCCTCCCGGTCCTCACGCTCGGCGGCAGCGAAGCTGACCGAGTCGGGGTGCGATCGGGTGGGCTGCGTGGGCTTCCTAGGAGCCCGTCGCGGGGACTCCGGAGAAGGTGAAGGCGTTCCAAAGTTGGAGTCCAATCCGCACGGAGTTAAGCTCGCTCGCCCCAACCTTCAGGTGACCCCGCGCGGCGGCAGGCGGCCGCTGCAGCGACCAGAGCCCGCAGCGCTCGGAGCGCCTCCGGGAGGACAGGCGGCGAGCGCGGCGAATCGTCATCCTCCAGCCGAGCGCCGAGCTCCGCGCCCGGGGGCCGGGAGGGAGAAGCGA